TGCCTCTTTTGGCGTAGAGCAATTCTTTATTAGTGAGCATTTTACTGATACGTTCAGTATTAACATTTATGCAGCCTGCCAGGTACATTCATTTACAACATTTCCTTATTATATTAAAAGAAAATGTAATTTGGCCAGTTAATTTCCACATTTGTGGTTGCAAATTAGTTATATAAACATAATTTCTAGGAGACAGCTGATTATTCGATACATTTCAATGCAGTTTTACTCCTTAAAGTCCATTAATATGTAAATAAGAATTCCTTAGAATAGAATGAGCCGGTGCTCTGCTAGCTCACGGGTGGAGTGCAAACTAAAGCAGTGGTTTGTGTATTTTTTTAAATAATGTTTAACAATCAAATACTTAATAGGCTAGAAAAGTAAATGTACAGTAAATTGTCTAATAGATGGCCAAGAGTCAGGGACAAGAAAACACTGAATTTAATTTAGTGTATGTAAGGATGTTAAAGATGATATCAAATCCATAATACAAACAGAGAATTGTGGGTAAAATTCCCTGAACAGGAATTCATCCAAGTCACTAGTTTTACACAAACGTCTTGCAGTTACTGAATTCACTATTTGGGTTAATGGTACAGTTTTTTACATGTAACATGCTATATCCATAAAGTATGTCACCTTATCAGAGGTCGTCAGTTTAATAAATGAGAGAAAGGGGTTACCTTTTATACGGAATTCGGTCTTTATACGGAGTTCGGTCTAGACCTGTTCTATTTGAAAAGTGTCCTGAGATAACTTCTGTTATGAATTGGCACTATACAAATAAAACTGAATTGAATTGACTTGAAAATTTAATTTTATAAAAGGTTGGGAACTATGTTTCAGGGTACAAATGAAGGGGTACACATAATATTAATCAGTAGACTTTTAGGGGGAGTTTTCCCATACAAGCCTAAACTGTGCAGATAATTCATTAAAACCCCCTTAATATATTATAGTCCATTAATTTACATATTAATTAAACCCAAATTTGGGGTGTAGGCCATCTTAATACCTGAAAACTGTTGGGAATACAAATCCCTTCAAATCTAATAATTTAGCTGAAAACATTTTAACATTCATGTGACAGTAATGTAACTGTAATTCATTTGTTAATTCAGGGCTTTTCAAATTAAAATGTATTTATTTAAAGGGGTTTGGTTTCACCTTTTCAAATTAAGTGGTCTCTGACAACCACACAAAATCAAATGTTTTCATGTGTAAATGAAGGATTCATTCATGGTACTTTAAGGAGTCCTGTTTCATAGTGAGGGGCTTTGTGACAGGCCCATCAGTTAAGAGTTTACAGTGTTTAGAAATGCATTTTGAGCCATTAAAATATATTTTTAAATGTATATGTTGCTATGGTAAGTGAAAAACCTCTTTTATATCAGAGTTGAATGGCAAAATGAATGATAGTATCTGATATCAGCACATTACATTGAAAGACCTATATTGGTCTAAGTGAAGAGAGGTTGAGAGCAGGGAAAGAGTCAGTGTGCATGAGAAAGAAATACTTCATCACCATGGTGTAAGACATTGTAATCTGCCCATCCCCCTTCACAGCTCCACTTCACTGTGCTGTGGGCTCACACACTCACATGGAAAGCCAGTCCTTAGCACTAAACTGCTCCGGCATGGTGTTTAACCCCCCCCCCACACACACACACACACACACACACACATTATTACTGAAGCTTAGAAAGACGGTCCTACATTTTTCACAATGCATGAGTGGAATAAGGCTCCTACCACGCACAACAAAGGTGATATATTAGACACCATATTTGGACACATCTACTGGTCTTTTATTCAAAAGCTGTCACTTTCAGACTTTTCCTGTTTTCTTCTCTTAAGTTGACTTGATGAGATGAGATCTGTCTCACCTTGCCTTAAAGAAATAGCATTTCTTATAACATATGTTATATTCTAAAAATACAACATTTTTGGAAATTCGCAAATCCGCTAATGTGCTTTATTTTTTAAAGGTTGGGTTCGGTTAGGTTCCCCCCAAAACTAGAAAAAAAACCTCCTAGCATTTAAAGGACCAGTGTGTAGGATGCAGTTGTGTCTAGTGGTGACGTTTCAGATTGCAACTTACCTGAACACCACTTCTGTCTGTATTTGATGACCCGAAAATGAGAACGGGCTGTAAAGTGTGTAGGATAAACAACAATGGCTGTGAAATGAGGAAAGGCCCTGTCTACAGCCAGTGTTTGGTTTGATTTTTGTCTGTTCTGGGTTTCTGTAGAAACATGGTGATCCAACATGGTGGACTCCATAGAAGGCAACCAGTGGCTTCTGTAGATAAAAACAGCTCATTCTAAGGTAACACAAACACAGATTCTTATATTCAGGTGATTATACACTAATAAAAACAAACCTATTCATATTATATTCATATTTTCCTGGTTACAATAATAACCACTGGGTTATGGACACGATTAAAAGACTGTTGACTGTTGGTGGAAAACAGGAAGCAAACAGAGGTCTCCCATGGCAAAGTCCCATCCATCCACCCCAACCTCGTCACTGTGTGGACTTTATGATATGATACTCGAGGATATCACACTACTTCCTCCTTTGCACTGATGGAGACTATGTGTCATAATTCCTACGGCGGCTATAGTGTTAGTTATTTTTGTGCATTTGCCAAAATGAGTAATGCTGTCAGGTTTTTTTTGGAAGGACAGTCTCGCGTATCAGCAGCGTCAGAACGGATGTATTGTACTCTGTATCAGGCTTTGACAACTGTATGTGTCCATTCTTCTTGAAAGACAGCAATCCACTGTACTTCGGTGACATGGCAATACAATCACTCTGGCATCTGTTTTCGCTGCTAAGCACACAGTGCTGTGGTGATTGTGCACCGCTCCTTCAACAGATGTGAATCAGTGCGAGCCCTATTGTTCATGAAGTATGAGTTTCTGTATGTGTCGCTCTTAGCGGTGCGTGCTATCGCTGCTTATACCACCCATGTCTTTCACAGGGGTCCAGAGCAGAAGTGATGTACCAGGTGAAAAGCAAACATGTATCATCATATCATATGTTACATATAGAGGCCTGCCCATCCATGCTCTAAACACACAGTGTAAAAGAAATGCAATATTTCCTTTGTGCAAGAGGATTTGTTTCAAAGACAAACACCAATAAATAGATCAAACCATGCAACATTGTTCAGAATTATAGTACACAGGTAGACAGTAGCAAAAAGCATTAAACAGGGTTGGGCGATTGGACGCTAATTTAATAGACTCCCAAGAATGAGAGCCCCTCAGTGAGCGACGTTCAGCGGCGCAGTACACACACTGAGCCAAAGAACAAGGAAAAACCAGCTGTACAGCCAGAGTATTTTCACATCTAACTGCAGTGAATTAAGGGTTTATTTAGGCTAGTGTGACGACAGGGAATACAGTTACAAGGTGATTCACAGAGGATCCAAACTAGTCTCTAACTCCTGGGGAAGATGGGGACACAGCAGGGACAGGAGAGGGACAGGCTCGGAGAGGAGAGGCATGAAGCGGGTAGAGAAGCGAGGGAGGTCGGGGGCATCAGAGAGGCAGCAACAGCGCGTAGAGCCAGAATATTTTCACATCTAATACTGTTAGGTGGTTAGAGTGGTGGTGATTGTTGGAACAGACTAATAAAGATGGTTTGGTGAGTTAAGTATAAAAGAGAAACCTGGAAGGTGTACTGTTGTATTTTTAGTTTAACCAACATGCTTGAGTTTTAAACACGTTGGTAAGTAAATGTTTTAACTTATTAACATGCTGTATCTTGTTTCTTCACAAGACATGTAAAAATTTTATTCACGACTTCAAGAAAGAGCCCGTTGTGAAGCTCAGTGTGGTCGTCTCTGGCCGTCAGCCACCTGTGACGGCACCCACCTGTCACTTAAAGCCACCATACCCTTTAATTATACAATTATATAACATTAAGCTTTTGTATAATTGAAATGGGTGAGTCAAAAATAATCAAAATTCACCCCCTATAGAGACCAAAACTGTGTTTAACATGTTTATTTCTGCTGTGAAGTCGGGCATTTTAGATGGAGATCGACTCACTTCAGAAGCCAGCCTCTAGTGGCCCTTCCAGGAACTGCAGTTGTTGGTACTTCCCTGTTGGCTTCGTTTGCCAGCCACAGAGGTTGCTGCTTGCTAATGACTCGGCTTCATGCTACAAGATGTAACTTGTAAATGAGACAGCCTATCAATAAGATAATAAATAATCAATAATTAAGTCCATAGTCATATTCGTCATTCTGGACAGCAGGTGCTAGTTGTTTCTCCTGCACCCAGTCTTGATGCTAAGCTAGGCCAATCAACACCTGACTCAAGCTACATACCGCAAGATACCATGTGTAAATAACCTAGTAATAAAGTAAACAACTCAAACAATAGGCATATCACCATCACTTTGGTCAGAGCCAGTTGTTTTTCTAGTAGCTACATGAGGAACAGCTCATACTAAAGTAGGCTGACTCCAGCTCTGTACTACACACAGATTTGAGAATGGTATCGATCTTCTCCTCTAAATCTTGGAAAGAAAACAAATAAGCACATTTCCATGAATGTTGAACTGTGTCTAAAACTGCACAACAGAGCACCGTGGAGCTGCGTCCAAACATGAGCAGACCTGAAGACACATAGAGTGAAAGAGTATATGTTTCCATACAATGAAGGATGAACAGTCAGTTTAATCTCAGACTGACCTGCCTCCCTGCCTGCTGCTTCTGTTACATCTCTAATAGGAGGAAATGGCTTGTGGTGAGGAGAGGATCCAGCCCTTCTGTGGGAGTTTAATTCAATCACAGCTCCGGTCAAAAATGAATTAAAACTCTCATTAAACCCCCCTCCTGTGTTCCAGAGACTAAGCTGGCTGCTAAGGCTCACAAGTAGAGATTTGGGTGTTACATAGAAGCATCAGTCAGCTCTGCAGTTATCCGTCTGTGAGTCAGCCATCAGTCACTAACTCCATCATTTTGTTATTTTAATTTGCAGTGCTTGCCTTGTGCTCACCCACACAGTGAGCCCAATGAACCCAGTTGCAGATGATCCAAACAACAGTAGGCTATGTGGACGTCTTGTTGTTTAATCTGAACGAGTCACAGTTTGACAAAATTGAGACCGCAGCGCTCCCTGCCTGGACTTCATATCTCACCGAGCACAATGAGGATAATACACTGCGATCCACATCACAGGACCATTGACCTTTTACACAGTACACTGTAACTAACCAGTTTGGACGGTGGCCATTTATTATATGGAGCAGAGCGGCAGAAAGTGTTGTTTTGTGTCAGGAGGAGAAAGAGGAACCTGCGTGTTGTAACCCCACAGGAAAACATCTCTGTGCCTCCGACCACTAAAGTGTTTCTGCTGCAGGATCAATTCATCCTCGCTTTGTCGCTCCTGAGCAGCAGCAGCTTACATTATCACTGGAGTCACACTGATACATTGTTGCATCTATTGTCAAGACAAAATGGCTCTGACAGTAGCATTTAAGCTTATTCTATTCATGGACTAATAGTAACGTATTCTAGTTATTCTTTGTGGATTTAAGAAAATAAAAGATGTGAATAGATGATACAATGTGTGAGACTTGTGATGTTTTAAGACTCTCCCACTGGAAATAAGACATGAACAATGCATGAAGCTCTAAGTATAATCTAATGCTGATAAATACCTAGTACAATCTGTAAAGCCAAACCAAACATTTGTCAGCTGGCTAAAAGCCTCTCTACATAAGGAAAATGCCACTTTTTTTTCTCCTTCTCTTGAGCCTTCAGAGGTGAAACATGAGCTCCCCCTGCTGATTCAAAAATTGAAAGTGTGCTACCTTCAGGTACTCATGATAATAAAACAGTCAGGAGTAGTCAAGGTGCATGTGATTCTGATTCAGAGGATGGGGGCTACCAGCATGATTTGTGACATCACAAATAGTTTTATGAAGTCAGTCCTGTTCCAGTATGCAACTTGTACAGTGTGATGTAGAAACTTGAAGCCACCAGTGCACATCCACTGAGAATGGACTTCACAGTGAAGAAGGAGAAATGAACAACATTTGTATATTCAGAGATTCTGGAAGTTTTAATGAGGTAGGAGGAGGAGATGATTTTGTAAGGATTTTTATGTGGACTTTTTTGTGGAAAAACACATATCATACACACATTATTGTCCCAAGCATCCATTTATGTTACTTTATACTTCCACTACAGCTCAGAGGCAAATAGTGTACTTTTTATTCACTACAGTAGTTACTAATTACTTTACAGATGAAAATTTTACATACAAAACATATGATTACTTTATAAAATATGATGCATTTTCACATATTAAACTGCCTAATAAGATACAAAGCAGGTACAAATATATTTGGCTCCAATAGACAGGCTACAAAAGTAAAGTGTTAATACATATTAAAACATGTTTATAAATAAATGCAGTAATAGCGCATAAATAATAATATAACTCTATGAAAGGGATTCATTATAGACACATTTACTTTTAATATTTTATTTTAACATTGTTGTATGCAAACAGTCATGTTGTATTTAATGCACTGAATATGCAATATGATTATTACTGGTATAGGCCAACATTTGATGTCTGAGTCACTAACATTAATACATCAATAGTCAATAATGTGTTTTTGTATTATATCATATTTCAAACATTGTTTTAATTTTAATTCAGTTTTGGTGGTAATAAAAGAACATAGCTAAAAGTATTCAGCCACTGGTTTGTTTATATTGTCACAAAGACAAATTTCAGATGTACAGTAACTCTTAGTTAATATTAGTACATAATACAGCTCACATTAGCTTTTAAATGTTAAACACTACTAAAAATATATTTTAACAGCAAGGTTTGGTGATAGTACTCAAATATCAAGTTTAGAGTAAAAAAACAATCAAATAAAGAACAGTAATAACGGTCATTTGAATGCCATGGTGTATCACTGTGGTTACTGTAAAGAGCTGGAAGATCCGAAATGGATATACTGTATATACCGGTACTCAAGTGACAGAAACGCGTCGAAATTGAACGCAACAGCAGTTTACGAGGCGTACCTGAAGGCAGCACAATGTTGCAAGATAGGGTTGTGATGAATGATGTAGCGCAGCGCTGAGTCGTGGTCCAAACACGTGTAGAGTCAATTGCAGGATAGATGTGTGTGTAGGCAAACGCGTTGCTGTTTGTATCGAAATTTCGTCTCTGGCAAAAAGTGCTGTGAACCTTTTCCGTCGTCGACGATTTGTTTTTAAACGTAACGTTAGCTCTGGCCGAAGAATATTTTGGTGAGTTGAAATTTGATGCTGTGAACAGAGGCTGTTGGCTAGCTAGCGAACACTGTTAAGTTACAAGCTAAACGGGATAAAGAAGTTTGACTTCCGGTCAAAAAGAATAAAAAATAAAATTCTGTTGAAAATACCATGTGCTGGAATGTAAAAGTGTAAATTAACGACTGACTATATTTCAGCAGTAGTCTCATAACTCAAGACAGAATATATAATAGTGCTAAAGATAGTCTTTTCACATATAGGCTAATACATAGTTACCGTCGCTTTTATTTTGAATGCGATGTCGGACACTCTGGTCACATGTAAGTTTGCGAGCTTGACGCAGTTGTTAGAAATGGAGACATGTTAGCTACCTCTTTGTATTTAAAGACACTCAGTTAAATTAGCAGCGGTGCTTTGTTCAACAGACGTTACATTTGTCCGTTTCCCGCTGCAGACAGTAACCGAGGTCTCGGTTTTGTGGGTCTCATACTAACGTTAGTTCTCGTACACCGATATTCTCCCTCTTACCGTTAGCCAGAGGCTAATTGCGCTGGCGGCATTACTTTGGTCGCGTTTACTTTTATCACGGTGATAACCTGGGCGGGCGGTTTGCATACTTGCAGTTACCTAGCAATAAAGAAGTCGGGGTTGTCCCACCCGCGCGGCACACGCTGTGTGTGCAACCGAGCGCTTCAAATGTACCACGCTTCATGGTGACACTTGTGTTGTGGGAAAGATGAACAACTTATAGCGTGTAGTTGGACATATACTTGTTAGATTGGTGAACTACGAGTTTTTGTGCCGTTAATTAACCTGTGTTTTTAGGCGATGAGGGTTTATTTGCCTCGCCCGTAGTTACCGTGGCAACAGCCACGGCTGTCCGCGTTGTAGAACGAGGACATGGAGGGTTAGCCACTGTTTGGTTAGCTAAATAGCAAAATGTCCTTCCTTATTGTTATTTCTGTCAGATATCTGAATTGTGATTAGTTAAGAGTCAGACAGGCTGCAGAAAAAAATAAAAGTATTATGTAAAGTTAAAAATACAAAATAATATATAATACAATAAAAAAAAATGTATGTTCTTAACTCAAGGTCCATTTACTAGATTATTTCTGGAGCTTTCAGTTACATCTTTTGGCCTTCATCAGCAATTAGAATCTACCCCCCCCCCACACACATAAACCACCAGTTTATTTTCCTTATTCACTGAAAAGGCTGTTTTAACTACACATCTGTTTAGGAAGGTGAACTCAGTTGCGTTGTTGTAATGTCATTGTAACTAGGTCTATGTTTTAAACTTTAACTTTAACGGTTTGAATTCTTTGTACATGCACAGTTGAGATGGTATTATTTTTTATTATCTCACATCCACTAAAGCCAGAAGCAATTTCCCCAAAGCACACTACATTGTTTATGATGGCTTTTATCGTCTGAATGAATAGTTTTGAACGGTCTACTGTTTGATTTGAATCGGTTTTTGTCTCCAGACACCAGAGCGCAATGATGAAATACATCCTGGTAACCGGAGGAGTCATCTCAGGTATTGGCAAAGGCATCATAGCGAGCAGCGTGGGCACAATCCTGAAGTCATGTGGCCTGCATGTAACCGCCATCAAGATAGACCCTTATATCAACATAGACGCAGGCACATTTTCACCCTATGAGCACGGTACGTTGGAGGAAATGATCGTTTTAATAATTAAACAGCCACACAATATGTCCGTGTTTTATGATTGTGTCGTGCCCCCTCTGTCCAGGCGAAGTGTTCGTGCTGGATGACGGCGGCGAGGTGGACTTGGATCTGGGGAATTATGAACGCTTCCTGGACATCCGGCTGACCAGAGACAACAACCTGACCACCGGCAAGATCTATCAGTCGGTCATCAACAAAGAGAGGAGGGGAGACTACCTGGGCAAGACCGTGCAGGGTAAAGACTTGGAGACGCTACATGACTTTGAAAGGCGTCAAATCTCTGTACTGCTCACACTACACAACTGTCTGCCTTGAAGTTGTTGTGGTTTTCACGCTACTCGACTGATCAGCAACAGGCAGTCACACACTACAAGTAGTCTGTAGTGGTGACAAAACGTTAAGAATGATACATGTTAGCAGTTTGAATTCATCTTAAAGCTCCCTGCACCAAACTCCCTTTAAGAAATATACATATGAACAATTCCTTACGTGTTCGTAACAACAACTCTAACTCTAGAAACTCGAGCTTAAGTGTATATGACTGTATGTCCACAGTCTTCTTGTCAATTCAGCGTCAATATAATCCATAAAGATAGACTGTATTTTTCTACAGACTTTACATTTCATCTTCTCAACTGGCTCAGTCGCTGTTGTAGCTGCGCTCTTTCAGTGGGAGAAGACCGTATGAGTTAATGCTCAGATAGACTGATTGACTAGATTGAACACAGACTAACAACACTGTTAATTCACCTTCTATTACGTGTGTGTGAGACAGTATTTGAGGTTTTTTACCTGGTTCGCTGCTTCCTCTCTGGTGAAGCCTGTGTCTGCTCTCACTGGCTGTAGCTCGTTACATCCGACACAACCAGATATGTAGCCTGTGTGATATTTTTTGGGTACCTGCGAGGCATCGGCGATCCTCCTCATGGGAGTGATCGTAGATTTGCCTCTGATCTGGGTGCTTTTCTCTGCGATCTCCCAAAACAGTCAGTGAGTGGAAAATCATGGCCAAAATCACGTAGTGTGAGGATGTTGAGTCTAGAATGATTTCTCTCTTTACAGTGGTGCCACACATCACAGATGCCATCCAGGAATGGGTTGTGAAACAGGCCAAAGTACCCGTTGATGTCGACGATGTAGAACCTCAAGTTTGTGTAATAGAGGTAAGCTGAGCCGTTCCTTTTATCATATGATCATTTGTGCCATTTTGTGGCTTATATTGTATGTTATTTTATACAGCTGCCATGTTTGTCAGTGATGATATTTGGGACTGTGTGCATGTTTGCAGTTAGGAGGCACTGTCGGGGACATCGAGAGTATGCCTTTCATCGAGGCCTTCAGGCAGTTCCAGTTTAAAGTGAAGAGAGAGAACTTCTGTAACATTCACGTCAGCCTGATACCACAGGTAAGAGAGCAACACCTCCAGGCCTCGCTGCTTTCATCTGAGGGCAAATGTCTCAGCTGCTGTGTCATGCTCTGGAGATACAAAACAACAACGAAGGATTTGCAAATTTGTAAAAACAAACCTAAATTTGAATTCACAAATAAGATTTTAATATTTTGAAATAGAATCTGGGCTCGTATTTATCAACAGATGAAGCACTGAGAAAAAGCACTGAAACTCAGGACTAAACACACTTGCTCAGAGTAGCACATAGGTTATTTATGAAGCATCATATACATGCTTTCTTGAAGGAGATTATAGGACTGCTCTAAGGACAGAGGCTGATGCTGCTGTTTTAAAACACTCAGATTTAAAAATTAAAGATGATGATGATTTGTTGTAGTTTCAGGGCTCAACAATAAGGACCCCGCTTGCCGGGGGCGAGTAAAATTCAAATTTAGCAACTCAATTTGTCCGATCAGGTACGTGGTAACAAGGAATAAATCACAAAGCTGATGATGGAAGTAGCTCGCTTCCTTCTCTTTTCTGGTGAAACATACACATGTGCAGTAATTGGGCACAAAATGGCAGCAGGTAAATAAGAGCTGACAGCATCTCAAATGTACGATGCAAAACAGCCCTTCTAGAAACAGACCAAATATTCTTTAGTATAATATTGCTGTAGTTGCAGATGCACAGACAAGAGGTCAGCATCAGGTTTGTTCTGTACAGTCAGTTTAACATATACAATCTCTCCATTGTTGTGTACAGCCCAGTGCGACAGGAGAGCAAAAGACCAAACCAACCCAGAACAGTGTCAGAGAGCTGAGAGGACTGGGTTTGTCCCCTGATCTGGTGAGTCACCTGCTGTACACACTCATCCCTCTATACTGTACATGCTCCACTTTACTGTGTGTGTGTGTGCGTCTGTCTGTCTGTCTGTCTGTCTGTTGTTCTGTATTCCCTGCTGACTGTGACTTTACACGTCAGTATATTTCATGAGCAGTAATGACATTGACCATTACATTTATACCAATAAGAACCCCCATAAATGTTATACAGTGGACCTTTTTTGAAGTAGGCCTTTACATCTTGAAGTTTTGGATAATTTCTGCGAAGCCGTTCACGTTACAATCCCACTCTCTTGGCTCCAACTCCACATCCATGCACACCTCCGTACAGACGTCGCAGCCATTGCTCCACAAAAAGCTGTAATCTCTCTTCCACCTCATTATCATCTGCTCATGAATTTACTGGCTTCCCCTGCACATCTGCTTACTTTCCATAGGTCTCTGTTATCAAGGCTCGACCATATTCTTTATTTGTTGAAATGACGTGTTTCCCCCTCAGCGATCATTAAAGTTTTATCTCATCTCTGCTGATAGATCATGTGTCGCTGCTCCGCTGCTCTGGAGAACTCCGTCAAAGAAAAGATTTCAATGTTCTGCCACGTAGAACCCGAACAGGTACGTCACCGACACTGAAGCCCTTTGATGAAACAGACTCTTTCAGCTGCTCCAAACTCACTGAGCTGTCTCGTCCCAGGTCATCTGTGTGCACGACGTGTCGTCCATCTACAGAGTGCCGCTGCTGCTGGAGAATCAGGGTGTGGTGGGCTACCTGAGCAGGAGACTCAATATGCCCATAGAGGCCCGACCCAGGAAAATGCTGACTAAATGGAAGGAGATGTCTGACAGGTTAGTTAAAGAAGAAATCCTCAATTTAAAATGAAATTGGGGACGGGGGGGAGGGTGGTCCTGTGCTGTTCTGCTGCCCTACAGTATGTGATTATTTCCAGCGTTAACTAATATACATGCTGTGTTCACAGGTCAGACAGACTGCTGGAGCACTGCTCTATAGCACTGGTTGGGAAGTACACCAAGTTTTCCGACTCCTATGCTTCTGTCATCAAGGCTCTGGAGCACTCGGCCCTGGCCATTAGCCATAAATTGGAGGTGAAGGTATGTACAACATGCTGTTAACCCACAGTCTGTGTGACAGATGTTATTTTGAGTTATGACTCCTAGAATGGTTTTTAATTAGCTCAAATTACATGACAAACTACCAGGGTTCCCACGCATCCTGGAAAAGCTAGAAATTTAGAGACTAGTTTTCCAGTCATGGGAACACCTAGACATTATTTAAAATGAGCAGATATCCTGGAAATAATAGAAGTTGTCCAGTACATTTTTGTATTTTAGCCTCTTACTCAGATTGCCTACGTAACCTGTATTTAGGTTGAAACTGGACTGTTGATAGGATAAACTGTATGACAGTGGAACTGACCTGCAGTGCTCTTTTCGGCATCAAGTCTATTTTTTCCGTTAATACAGCCTAATAATGATTCTTGTTGCTGTGGTTGATAAATACATGCACATTGATGTTAATTGTATGTGCAATGAACACTGGAACTTTCTAAAAGATTTTCTGTAAAATAAAATAAATTCTACTTGATCTGAACTTGTTGGCTGTGGCTGAATTAATTTAGTCAAATCACCCTAAACCGCAGCTTTTATGACCATTAGTGAGCAAGTGCTGTCGTGTATTGTTTTTAGAACACCTGCATGCATGTGTCTCTTTCTCTTCATCTATCTGAGATCCTGGTCCTAGTCTGTAATGTTCATTACAAAAGAAAATAGTTGTGATGGGTGTGTGTTTAAGTTAAACTGGGGTGTGAAGTTGACCCAGACTGGAAATCCTGCCTGTGCTGCTGCCATCTAGTGGAAAACTGCTCTCTATCTAAATCTTCTATTCTTCAGAGCTGCCACCTAAACGTTCTGTGCCTCTGCCCCTCAGTATATAGACTCAGCGTATTTGGAGCCGAGCACTCTGCAGGAGGAACCGGTGAAATACCACGAGGCGTGGCAGAAACTCTGCAGTGCTGAGTGAGTGCTGATGCACCATTAAATACAGTCATACAACCTGGACATTACATTTGTAGTTTCATCAACTGTTTCCCCTTCTATCCTCAGTGGCATCCTGGTTCCAGGAGGTTTTGGTGTCAGAGGAACTGAGGGAAAGATTCATGCCATCAACTGGGCCAGGAATCAGAAAAAACCTTTTCTAGGTACAGGAGAGCTGTCAGGATGACCGTGATATGTGTTTATCAGATTTATTCTATTGAAATGAATAACACTTTTGAACTGTGTGTGTTCCTGCAGGCGTGTGTCTTGGAATGCAGTTGGCTGTATGTGAATTTGCCAGGAACATGCTCGGCTGGAAAGGTAATATTAATTCTCCCACGTAGCCAGACTGAACTGGTGTAGTGTTATGTATTTGCATCAAAGAAAACCACCACGACTAAACGGAGCTTTTTCATGTTACTCAAACTAGCTCTGAAGTTGTAAAGCCAGTTTCCTCACTTTTCTTTTACTAATTCAGGTGAAAGATTGAGTACAAATATGTGTTCAGCTACTGAGCACAAAGTAGAAACTGACATTTTTACAGAATTTGTTGAATTACAGCTGCTGAATTCTTTCAATTTGACTATTTTTTATTCTAACCAAAGAGGTTCACCCTTACCCTTGGGATAGAGTAGTTTGACAAAACAATTTAAACTTTTCCCAGCCTATTCTGCAGCTTTCTGATAGAAAATATTTAGTCAAACTGAGAGGAAATGAATTTAATAACTTAATAAGAAATGCAACTATCTGATGACATTAGAGCTTTGTTTGATAAAGTAAGTAATATCATATAAATGATCATGTTCGAACTGCTATATTCGGGGTGTCTGCGGGATATTCTAAAGTCTAAAATCTGAATTTTAGGCCTTAAAATGTCCCTAAATATAGTTTTGACAGGTCCCAAAGAATTGATTGCTTTTAATCACTTTTAAATGTTTCTGGATAAAAAGTCATTTATCATGCTGTAAGAACTACAAGACCAAACCAGCATGGAATTCATACTGATTTCCCTCATATCCATTGTACTGTTTTTTTGCCAGTATGGACGTGAAATAGGTCTTAAGTCGCACTGCCAGACAAAAATGAGCAAGTGAGAAAGAAACATGGTGAATCCTTTGGTCCTTGATCATACTACGAGACACATGTACTGACAGAAGACACATTGTAAGTCCTCACAATGTGACCTCTGCTATGACCCAGGTCTACAAACCAACCAGACCTGAGTCCAGCATGGGATGACACACAATGGCCAGTGCAATGTCCATAAAGCAGTTCATTCTCCAGTTAAGAGGGCATTCATTGCACACTCTGACACTGATATTGTACAGTCTCACATGCAGTGAACTTCTCACAGTGAAAGCAGCAGCGGAGGTCAGCAGCAGAGGTCAGCAGCGTTGTGGCGGTACTCGAGACGCAATCACTGTAGTTGAAGAGTTTAAAAACAGACACATCAGGCTGCATTTACGCTGACTAGTAAATGGTTTTTAAAGATACCCAGAAAAATGTTGGTCAGAAGTGAATTTAGATGCTCAGAGTGAACTTCAGAGGTGAGATAACACTTCAACTGTGTGTCAGAGGTGATCGAAACCCTGGATGATACCCAGTTATTTGTAAGTAGGACTGTATTTGCAAGAATCTGGCAATACATCACGGTACAGGGGTTACGGTTCAGTATATTGTGATATATTATGATTCTGTAGTAGGTGATATATTGCAAATTGTTTTTTTTCCATCAAGCATCTTTTTGATTCGGTACTCATTTTCATAGTCCTTACAATTGTGCATGCGGCATAGGAGTTATTAGGAAAGCAAGTAATATGCACACAGGTGATATCAAAATAAAATGACAAACTGATGAAATGATAAACCTTTTTAAATGAGATGTTAGAAAAACTGTCCCATTATAAAGAACACACCACCATATGCATACAGTCTGTCAGAGTTTAACCAGAACAGTGGGACGTTCATTAGTATTTATCACAGTGCCTGAAACATTCATCATCATGGCCCTCTGTTTATGTTTACAGTACTGCTATTGAAACAATCTATATATGACATACTTAACAGAACTGACTGACTTTGCCTGTTTTGCACTTAGATGCCAACTCAACTGAATTCGACCCAGACTCGAAGCATCCTGTGGTAAGTTAGTTTTTTAAATTCAGAAATGATCTCGCTGTAATTTTACGCGAGACGTGCATTAAATTGAGTTTGTCGCGTTGAACATCTGCAGGTGATCGATATGCCCGAACACAACCCGGGGCAGATGGGCGGAACCATGAGGCTAGGGAAGAGACGGACCATTTTCAAGACCAACAACAGTGTATTGCGTAAGAACTTTAAAATTCACTTTCAGCCCAGTATTGATGTGTTGATACGTCTGCCCTGTGCTTACAGCTGTTCTGAATTCCAGGCAAGCTTTATGGAGACGCAGAGTATGTGGATGAAAGGCACCGGCATCGCTTTGAGGTCTGTCGACTTCTCAGTTCATCAGCAGCATTAAACCACCTTGTTGACAGTGGAGAGGGTGTGTTTTCTTTAACTTTGTCATCCTTGTGCAGGTTAATCCTGAGCTCAAGAGTCACTTTGAGGAGATGGGCTTCCGCTTCGTAGGTCAGGACGTCGAAGGGGAAAGAATGGAGGTCATAGAGCTGGATGGTACGGAAAATGAAACCCTAAACTGCTTTTTATCTTGTGGATAACGGTATTTACTGTGAAAGGTCATCAGTTCCTCTACAACCCCCTGCGTCCTGGAAAAATGGTTTTATTTTAGCGTGTGCTGTGGCCAATTGTTCATAGCAGCCATTTTGAGACGAAATAGGGTAAACACAGAGCCCTCATATGGTAAATGTAATTCTGTTTCAGACCATCCATATTTTGTGGGAGTGCAGTATCACCCTGAGTTCACCTCCCGCCCCATCAAACCATCACCCCCCTATCTTGGTTTGCTGCTGGCTGCTGCAGGGAAGCTGCAGAGCTACTTACAGAAGGGCTGCCGTCTCTCTCCACGGTAAACACACTGCAACACGTTTTTTGGCTCAACTGATAAACAGGCTGTTATATCTGACCATCCATTTTGTGTTTGACACAGGGACACGTACAGTGACCGGAGCGGCAGCAGCAGCCCAGACTCTGAGATATCAGAGCTGAAATTACCTTCCATTACCAATGAGTGACCTGGAGGAACACAGTACAAGATGTTTGCAAACTTCCCTCTACAGTGCTAAATACTTCTGGACTTGTTCTTAAGTGGACCCCCTATAATCACTGACAAAGGTGGATTCTGTTTCTCAACCCTGCTCTGGATGATGTGCATATGTCCTGGAATGAACTACTCTACTGTAACATGTTGACATTGAGGCTCAGGAATCTGTCTGAGATGCAGATTTAATGCTACTGTAAGCAGTGTGGGGAAAGATGTAAAATTAAACCAAGTGACAAGAGCTTTCATTGCTGTTTGAAACCTACACTATTGCCTTATTGTAAATAACCCCTGCTACAGCCATTGGCAGCATATTTAAAGTTGTTACATTTATAGAGGTGAATGGAACATGAAATAAATTCTTCAAAAGTAGTTGAGTTTGTTCAGATTTTATTTGGCAGCAGTTTACATATACATGTAGAATTCAAAATGTTACTCTTCTGGAATCAGTACATTTATGCCAGGTAGGTTTTTACACAAGAAATGTATCTTTGTGCAATGGTGCTTAAAATATACAATCACACAAATAAAGTACTTAGGAAAACTGTACAGAAGACAGGAGTGCATTAATGTAATGCATATACACACACAGGGTGGGTATAAGTCCGTGACAGTGGGGGTCTGGGCCTCGTTAATGAGGCCAGCTGCAATAATACAGATGAACTGGAACTCAAACACCCTCACTTATTCAGGCAGCTCTCCAACTGGACCTGAAATATAAAAATAAAAATTAGTGCAAGTCACTGGCCATTTCTGAACAGAACATTAAAAGGGCTGATCTCAGTCCCATATCCGCAAGCTTCATCCAACAGTCCTCATTGTGTTCAGTGATCATCATGGATCAGAATAGCAGCTCATGAGTGCTGACAAATGTGTTCACGTACCTTCAGACCAGGAAGTTGTGATTCCAGACCGAACATTAGATTGACGCCTACAATGAGAGAGAGATTTGTTACAATCACAATTATCTGTAGCTAATCACTTCTGACTGCACCAGCAAATAATCAGGGCTACTGTAGGACAGTTGAGTGGCTGCTGATGGCAGAGGGGGCCAGAGCAGTCAAAGACCACCCTATTCTCTTGCATACACTTGGAGAACCTAGAGCTATGAAGAAGCCCCGGTCCTTAGGATAGCATGCTTAATGTGAAGTAATCAGAGGGGACCAAAAATAAAAATAGATTTACCTTGAGATGAGAAAGCCTCTCTTCCAGTCCCTTTACAGTCAGCCATTGGAGTCACCTAAACAGAGCAATTCAGTCAGTTTCTAAAATGTGTCCTTACTTTCTTTAATGCGTCCTTACTTTCTGAGTGTGGCTCAGGAATATATATTGTCTCAATCATGCCTGATATCAGTGAGGGCAAGTATGTCATCATAGCCAGTACTACTGTATGTGAGCCGTGGCTCAGAAACTTACCTGCATGTGATGTAGTTCCCTGTGGTTTCACCCTTCCATCTTCACCAGGACTCAATACCTGCACAAAGACAGCAAATGTTTAGGAAAGCTCTTCACTACTTTTACAGTAATCACTCATTGACATGATTCAAGTCCTAGTGTCCTTCCCCAAAATGTTGCTGGAGCAGTTATTGTCAAACTGAACAGCGACCGTCGGTGAAAGTCTTCATTTCGGCTTCCTGTTGACCGTTCGCTGCTACATAAGAGCAGGAGCGGCTTCGATAGGAGCCTGTTCTATAAACGGCAGTATGAAGTCTTTAAAAAAATAAAAAAAAAAACTTGCCTGCTTTCAACCATGGACAGGGGTCAGCATGGGCACCCGACTGGCCTCTGGGTACGCAGCCCCACACCAAACTGATGCATTGGGAGTTCTGACACATTTCTATCAGAACCAGCATCAGAAACTTTTCAGAAGTTTCAGCTACAGTAGCTCATCTGTTGGATCAGACCACATGGACCAGCCTTGGCCATGTGGTCGGTTCACTTCCTTGGACCACTTTTGAGCGGTACTGAACACCCCACAAGAGCTGTGGTTTCAGACATGCTCTGACATTGTCTCCCATTACTGGTTCACCCTGTAAAGAGAAAAAAGATAGATATTAATGCATGCTCTGCACTGATGAGTATCATGTTAACAGCTAAGTTGAGGAAGTTAAGTCAGGATTTTTCAGAGCCACTTTTAAAACAGTGGCATAAGTTATTCAGTAAAAGGCACTAGAGGACTACAGGGTAGAATTATTGAAAGGATTGCCACCAGGTATGTGCCATTTATTTTCTACACGGTCTTATACGAGACTGTAATGCACTACAAATGTCAGGTCTCTTATCGTATCTGGTTAAAATTTAGACTTGTTAATGTGCATGGTGCACTACAGTCAAACACTATTCGTCTTCAGGAACGTCACGGACTGTATCTGGAGCAGATCTGAAGGAAGGGTGGAAGAGGACCTGACCACGTGGTTCACACGTATAAGCGTAATGTTAACAGAGCTAAGAAAAGCGACATCGGACATGAACTTTATTACAAAACAAGCTGGCGCCATGTCGGTTACTGTTTTAAATATAACGCTGTGTCATTAGTTATCATGGAGCATTAACGGCTACCACAACCTGTATAATCAACTCAGTTGCTTCATAAGCTAACGTTAGCTAGCTGGTTTACCCGCTAGTGGATAGTCAATAACTCGGCGGTAACATGTCCCACTCTTGAGTTGGTCATGGCAGGGTCAGCCAAACACCGCAGAATTATTTATGAACATAAAACCTTAGCGTAAGAAAACCAATGGAGTCGAGGCCTTACCGCCATCCTGCGTCTGCTCCGCTTTCTCCTCGTGGAGGTCTGGAAGAGGAAGAGGCAGAGAAGAGCGTCTCGTGCTCTTATATACGCTCGCGCCGAGCAGCGGGCCTCTGATTGGCCCGCATAACTCACGTGGACCTCTTGCATGACGGGATATGTATTTTTGTAAGCTTTTTTACGAACCGTTTCCATCTTTCAGGGTTATTGTGACTTACACAAACGACTACCAACACAGAGAGGGATTCTGACGTTTCCCTAATCACGTATTTTCCGCACAGAAGGACAGAACTTAAAATACTGAGTGTAAAGAGAGAAACACACGGTAGAGTCGGGCTCTCACCGGAACTGAAGCCTACTCAATGTACTTCAGAACCACGGACAGCAACCTGCCTCCAACCGAACTCCCGCTGGTGCTGTTTGAGATAAAACCCAAATATTGCTCATACAAGGCCACGACGGTAGTTGAAGCACACTGAAAGAACCTGCTAGAATTTCACCCAACGTAGACCAAACCCCTCTCTGCGTATATGTGCCTGTTTGGAAGTATCACTTGTCTGACCATGTTAAAATTCCCCGCTGGTATAAAAACCCTGAATTCTGTTTTAAAATCCCACCACGGCCTCTTTCAGAAGCTACAGCTGTCTCGCTGACGGCGGTAGCAGGTTATACCCCCGTGTAGCAGAGCATAGGTAAACGTGTCACATGACTGCTGCGGTCGCTCCGTGCTCAGCGTCTCTTCCTGAGCAGAAGGCAAGGCAGCAGCAGCGGAGGGGGCAGCGGGGGCAGCGGGAGCAGCGGGAGCCGGGGCTTCATGTAAACACGCCGCGCACAGGGCTTTGTTTCACACACTCCGCTGGTATCCCCCCCTTCTAGTCATGCCATGGATATTTTGTGGCAATACCAGTTCAGAATCATTCTGCTCGGGGATTCCACTGTGGGGAAGTCGTCGCTGCTCAAACGCTTCACGGACGGAATCTACAGCGATGTGGCGGATCCGACGGTCGGGGTAGATTTTTATGCCCGCTCGCTTGATATCGAGCCCGGGGTGAAAATAAAGCTGCAGCTCTGGGACACGGCCGGTCAGGAACGATTCAGGTACGGTTTTTTTTTTAAATGTATTTATTACTGCTTTAATACAAAATATCGCTGAATTGAATGTAACCATCATTCTTCACCGAGTCGTTAAATAACGGAGAGGCCTTGGTTTCTTTTTTTCGTGGCTGCTATTATTTAAAATGAAAGCCTTTAAATTGAATGAAGGCCATTTCCTCTCTCGTTATGATGTAATGAAGTGAGTGTAGACAGTGGAGAAAAGGCTCAGGAGGAGATTATATAGGCCTCGATCTTATGATGCCCTGGCCTATATAGACACAGTGAAAATCGAGTCGCATCACTGTGACTGCATTCATTCACGGATGATGGGCAGCCTCCTCATATTCAGGCCCCAGTGTGATTCCATCAGATACTGACTGCACGGTCTCCGGTGCAACACCAGGATGACAACAACCTAGCTTTTGCATTCATCTATCCTGTTGCTGGCTCTGTTTCATGTGTCCCTGCTGTCATGGATAATTTCCATTAAAGCACTTCTCTGTGGTGAGAAGCTGCTCCGCTCTTAGATGTGCTTTCCCTTTTGAAGCCCAGGCTTCAGAGGGTGTTTTCCTTCAGGCTTCACCACACTCACAGTCTTTCACTTCTGTCTTAACTGAATATGAAGTGTTCGTGAAAAAGACACAGAGTAGGGGGGAAACAACTCCAGGGCCGCAGACCTTTAGGGGCCCCCTAAGGATCCTGTGTTTACTGTCTGGTCTGTGGTAATTTGAAAAATTTCAGTTCAATTCAGTTTAATTCAATTTATTTCAGTTATTCACTCGTTCATTCCTCAGCAGGGCAGTTAAAGTCCAAAGGTGTTTTTGCCACATTTGGAAGCCCTGTATTGTAAGAGTACCCTGTGTCAAAACCTAGTTTTTATACCTGTATTATTTCATATTGTGCATACATAATGCATATGCATATTAAATACATTTAATTTGCACACATACACATACAATCTGGCACACAGCAAACCTGATATTCCGGCATGGGAGTACTACTTGGTTTTGATCGGCAAAATATAAGGAAGCAGGCGTCTGCTGTCTGAAGTGTGCCCCGTAGAAAAGGGCAACAGGATACATTCAGAACATTTAGAAAATACACAGAGTGGAACTACTTTGGACATTCAAGTCTACAGCTCTGTTAAGCTCTGTATTCTCTTTCACCATACTTACAGCCATCAGGACTTACTGCCAGGATCACTGAATCTCTGCTTTTCAATATCTGTTAATGTTTGAATGTCCAAAGTAGTTCCACTCTGTGTATTTTCTAAATGTTCTGTGTATATATATACATACAGAGCTTAACAGAGCTGTAGACTTGAGTCACAAAAACTGAGAATTGGATCCCCATATATTCAACTTGACTTGAGATTTCAACTAAAAACCTTCAAGCCTCAAGTTAAAGACTAACACTTGCTAGTTGCTTATTGAGACTTGTCTTGGACTCGAGACTCGACTTCCACAAGAGCTCATGCTTGACTTGGACTTGTCTTAACTAACTTGAGACTTCCTCCAAAAGAAACAGTTCTGACGGTGACGGTTGCGTCCAAGATGTTCGGAAGTGTGAAGCCAAGAAATTTTGCCTTGTATTACTAACATGTCATTAATCCGTCTACCCACCAGGTCCATCACAACGTCCTACTACCGTAACTCCGTTGGCGGGCTACTAGTCTTTGATCTCACCAATCGCAAGACCTTTGACCATGTGAGGGAGTGGCACAAGGAGGTGAGTGAGCACATCCTGCCTCACCACATGGTCTACATCCTCATCGGCCACAAAAGCGACCTCAACAAGGACCGCAAGGTGAGCCGGGATGAGGCGGAGCAGCTGGCAGCCGAGCTGGGCATCCGCTACGTGGAGACGTCGGCCAAGTGCAACAGCAACGTGGACCGGGCCTTCGAACTGCTGACCAGAGACATCTACGAGCTGATGAAGATGGGGGAGATCGTCACCCGCGACGGCTGGGACGGGGTGAAGAGTGGCCTCACCGCCAAGGTCCTCTACCCGGCCGAGGACGAAGAGGAGCTAGCTACCGCGACCGCTGAAAAGGGCTGCCACTGCTGACTGAGAACTCTCTGTGTCCAAACACTGTCTCGTCACACCAAGAGCTCACCTCGTCTCACAGCTGTCCATCGAAACCAAGTCACTCAGGCTCAGCACCCTGTGATATCACCGTCCATCACTCCCTCACCTTGTGCTTTGTGCCCTTTCTGTGTGTGGTTTCTTCTGACAACTGGGATTCTTTTCTAACAGGGGGCCACTGTACATCCCAATGTGTATCAAGTTGTATCTCTAAATTCATGTGGTGTAGCACGAGTCAACCTGTTTTGGGCCTCGTTAGGTTCGGAAAACACAGAAAGCGTCCAGAGGTGATCAGGTCTTGGGTCTTATAGTGTAGCCAGTACTCCTTTACACAGCCCTGGAGTTAATGGACTACTGAGTATACTGAAGATACAGATAAATCCATGGACTATGACTTACTGTAGTCTGGCATCTATTGTCGGTTTCTACTCGTCAAAGTTTGTGCAATGCTTTGCCTGCAATCTTTTGTGACTGTAATATTGTAAATAATAGTGAAATCTATAGAGATGAAAGCTAAAAGGTCACTGAAAGCTATTAGATTGATAGTGTGA